ACTACTTGTTTCCAACCTGTGCCAACTTGCGGCAAATTCAGCTGTTATTCACCGTCCTGCAAGCGCAGATTGGTTCCATCGCTATAAAATATCGCTGGCATAATTGCTGTTTAAGACTGCACCCTTTTATAAGTACTTACTTGTGCTTGGAACATAATTTGGTTTATGCCACGCGTCTTTTACGTTTCATTGGCCATCGAACTTCTGGTCTTAAACGGGTTGATGTAAAAAATTGGCTTTAGGTTTCGTTGCAACCAAATATCATACCGAGTCAGATTCAAGCCCACCAACTAGTTCTTCCTAATGTGTAAATGAGCGTTTGACGCCTTTGGGTAACGCCACAGAAATGGCGTGTTACGATTCTTGGGGCTTTAGGTAACATCTCACCACCACAGGTTTTTTGAAAATTTCTTCCAGTTACTTGGGACACGTCGGTTCACTATGGCTTGTTGACTCGGCAGTGTGGACTAAATTATCCTCCACCAGGATAATAACTGATCTACCTAACGAGGCATTAGTCCGCGCTGCCGGTTATTAGGCCCAGAAACCTTACTCCTGGCTCTTTCTTAGGATAGTTGTGACCTGGTTAGGAGACTGCTTAGATTGTTTGGGAAGGTCCGATCAAGTGTCTTCCAAAGTCTTACAATAGGGTGGTCGCCTTATTCATCTTTAAGAAAGATGTTAATCATAAAATAAATATTTAGGGATGTAAACTGATCCAACCGTAGCTGCTACTTTAAGTGCTGGTCGGGCTTGCCTATCGTGATGACCCAACCGAGCTATATTGGCTGGAACTTATGTTCCTGTAGGTTCTACCATATCAGGCAGGTCGATTGGAGAACGATGAGACTAAAAGCAGCTACTCAAGGTCTTAGGGCGAAGTCGTACTTTTGACTGTAGAGGGATGTGACAGCAGTAAGGTGTTTCCCTCGGACAACCAGTATCTGCAGCGATGCTGCCTTCTCACAAAATGTCACATCCCACCTTACCTCACAGATTTCCGTCTCCGGCGGTAAGGCCTTTTAAACAAGAATGGAGCTAACACTTTTAATACTACCCATAAAAAGACCATGCATGACCGGTCTCAAGCAGTTGTCCCTTGAGCTCTGCGCTTACGCTCCCAGGTCGCTCAGATCGACGCTAACCCGATTTCCTTTTCCGGTTCTTCAAGAAGCACCCACGGTGTAGGCAGCCGGGAAGTGACATTCACGCTCATACCCATAACAGCGCGCGAGACCAAATTGGTCAAAAAACATCCTTCCTACACCACTTAACATCTTTCAAGAGTGGACCTTCTACCAGGAGACAAGCTTGCTGATTTAGAAGATGCTGACGACATAGTCCTGTTCGGGTAGCATGCTGACAAAATACAGAGCCTTCTGACTATCCTGAGCAACATTGCAAACATGTTCGGGATGCGGTTTTCCCATTCGAATCGCAAAATGTTGCTTCAAGATTGGGTTGCATCGGCACCTGAAGTAGTGATAGGGAGTGAAGTAGTCGAGCGTGTTGACTGCCTCACTTATCTGAGGAGTCTCATTAGTGCTGATGGCCTGGTGACTGATGAAATCTCAGCTCGGATACAGAAGGCTCGATTGGCTTTTGCCAACCTGCATCACTTATGGCGAAGGCGAGATATCCGTTTGCTGACTAAAGGACGAGTGTACTGTGCAGTAGTTCGCTCCGTCTTACTTTATGGCTGTGAAACATGGCCAGTGAGAGTAGAAGATATTCGTAGGTTGCTGGTTTTCGATCATAGGTGTCTCCGAAGCATTGCTCGTATACCGTGGGACATCCGAGTGAGCAACGCTGTTAATAGGAAACGGGTGCTAGGTAAGAATGGCAGATCAATAGATGAAGTGGTGAAACTTCATCAGTTGAGGTGGTTGGGACACGTGTTGCATATGCCTAACCACCGACTGCCCCGACGAACTATGCTTTGTGGTGTGGGAGTAGGTTGGAAGAAAGCTATGAACGGCCAAACCAAAACATGACCGGTGCATTCACTCTTTGTGCTCTCTCAAATTCTAACCCTCTGAAATCCTAATCATCTGTATTTTTATCTACCTAAATTTATCTCACGGAATTATACTTATGGAGTGAGATCCTGCTGTCTTGCTCATACTTTCCAAGTTGCGAGCAGTGGGCGCATCACCGGCCCGTCCCATCCCGACCGAAGCTGCTATCTTGACGTGGTGGTCGGGCTTGCCTATCGTGATGACCCAACCGAGCTATATTGGCTGGAACTTATGTTCCTGTAGGTTCTACCATGTCAGGCAGGTCGATTGGAGAACGATGAGACTAAAAGCAGCTACCCAAGGTCTTAGGGCGAAGTCGTACTTTTGACTGTAGAGGGATGTGACAGCAGTAAGGTGTTTCCCTCGGACAACCAGTATCTGCAGCGATGCTGCCTTCTCACAGAGAAGGAAGGGGTTAGAGAAGGTCGACCCTAAAAATGTCACACCTCACCTTACCTCACGGATTTCCGTCTCCGTCGGTAAGGGTTTCCCACTAAGGGCTTTAAAAATAGTGGAGCTAATACTCAAAAAACCTTTCATAAGATGGCGGTGCGTGACCGGCCTAAAGCAGTTGTCCCCTGGGCTCTGCGGTCACGCACCCAGGTCTCTAAGACCAACACTAATCTACATTCCTTTTCAGGTTCCTCAAGAAACAACCTTCCACGGTGTGGGCAGCCGGAAAGTGACAACCGCCCTCATACCCGTAACAGCGCGAGAGACCAAATTGGTCAAAATCACATCCTTCCTACATCCCCTAATACCTCTCTTATCTCCACGACTAACTCTTCTCACATTCATTTATCACAGTGCACAGCTAATGCAGACGATGCGAGTTCACGAAACGTCGTTCCTGGTCTCCTTAAACCCCGTTCTGAACTACATGTTGGAGCATTTAATGTACGGACATTGTGTCAAATAGGGCAACAGGCTTCTTTGGCCAGGACTTTAGAATCTCATGCCATTGATGTATGCTGCGTTTCGGAAACGCGCATACAGGATCCTAGTAAAACTAATAATCTGATTTCACCCTATCAAAATAAAGAAGCAGCTCGATTTACTCTTCCTGTATCTGGAAGCAACTAGATCATATCGCCATCAGCCATCGATGGAGGGATTCGATAGAGGACTGTCGCTCGTTCTGTGACACGTCTAGATTTAGATCATGCCCTAGTGCGAACGCGTATTTGTTTGAGACTTGCTAGACGTAGGAAAGACACCGTAAGAAAGCCTCTTAGGGTTCTACCTAATGACAGCAGAGCTATGAAAATATTTCAGGAGGAACTAGAAAAACAGTTAGGTGACCATGTAAGTAATTCCCACTTGGATGTAGCTTGGAATGATATCAAAAAGGCTGTGGAAACAGCAGTGATATTTGCTAGTAAAATAAACGATAAGTCTAGGAAGATTCCGTTGATCTCAGTAGCATCTACCGAACTGATGGATGCTCAAAAAGTCATCCCGCCTTCCTCTGAGTGCGATGAGGAGCGGAGTCAGCTTAGGCGCATGCTGATAAAAAGCCTTCGCAATGATCGAAAACAGTGGTGGGTAGCGTAAGCATGGGAGATGGAAAAGGCAAGGGCGATAGGCAACAGTAGGCAACTATTTAGACTCATCAAGGAAACTGGTATTAGGAACCCAAGTGTGAGTGAGACTGTTTCAGAAAAGGATGGTCTTATTATCCATTCTCAATCCAGGAGACTGGACCGATGGGCAGAACACTTCAGTGATCAGTCCAACTAGCCTTCAGCCACACTCCGATTGCCCACGATCTTCAGTCATCCTGAATGGGAAACCGACATAAGCCCTCCTAGTCTTTATGAAGTTGAGAAAGTTATATGAAATCTAAAGCGAAGGCGAGCAGCGGGTCCTGATAGACTGACCCCTGAGATATTTAAGGATGGTGGTCCAGTTTTAGCAGCCAGATTGACCGAGATCTTAGGTAGAATCTGGGAACTGGACGTAATAACATCTGACTGGTCTCAATCCTTGATTGTCCCAATCTATACTGAAGGACAAAAGTCTTCTCGTGACAATCAGAGGGGAATCAGTCTAAGATAGTTTCTGAATTGTTCGCCCCATTTATCCTTAGACGCCTTACTAGAGCTCGTGAAGAGCAGACTAGAGAAAACCAGGCTAGTTCCGTACGTACGTGCATCAGTTCAGGTTGCCATACCGGATTAGCATAGAGAGGCAGCTGTCAGTTCAAATCACATAGTGGTAGCGATAGTAGAAGTATCGACAGTAATCTGTATTTTTATCTTCCTAAATTTATCTCACTGAATTATACTTATCGAATCATGTCTTCGAACCCTAATATTCTCTATTTGAAACAATGTCCGTACATTAAAAGCTCCAACATGTCGTCTAGAACGGGGTTTCAGGGGACCAGGAATAACGTTTCGTGAACTCGTATCTTTTGCATTGGCGGTGCAGTAATATAAAGGAAATAAGAGAGATTTTAGGTGTACGAAGGTTGCTTATTGTTAATTACTTGCTCAGGTTATTAAACTAGTGGATGAGACTGACATAATTGGAGTAGCAGGAATTTACTGTGTATTTCGGAAGAAGATCTAGTTTCGGTATCAGTTCATTGAGGCACTGAGTTTTGTTATGAATCACCTGAGTATATCGAAACTTCCTGGTTGGAATCTGGGGGCAGCCTTATTTATTATTCGGATGTTTACTTATTTCGTTACGTTATTTTCTCCACGCTTTGGTACTGGTAATATAATTATTCTTACTCTTTGCCATCTGTCGTGTTTTATGTTTGTTCATGTTCCCAACCCATGTTACTTTAAAACTGACGTAAACATAAGATAATACATTTTCTTTAGACAGGATTTAAAATTCGTGTCTAACTTTTTACCCAAGCTTTTTCATGTTAAAACTAATTATTATCATGAAATGCCTTCCTAAGTTTTTCATACCAAAATAAACTTATCGATTGTTTATTATTGCTTAGGTTCATCTAAATGGTGATATATGGATGGAGAAAGTGTGCGCAGTGGACGAAGTGAGAAAAGCGACCGTTCTCGTAGGTCGAAACGCACTCAGCGAACAAGTAATGCTCCGTCTAGTCAACCCGCGTGTATGTTTCAAGGACAAGTAAAAAGTGCATTAGCTTCTCCTCCTAACCAGCCACTAGCTATTGGCCAGAGTATGCAAAATGTAGACACAGTTGTCCGTCAGTCTCAATGCAGTTTAATGCCAGTTGTCCAGCGACCTCAAATGAGCATGTTTCCACAGCAGCCATTAGGAATGCAACAGCCAAATCCTCATCCTTATACATTAGAAACGTGGATTCCCCCCGTGATGCCAATGAATCCCAATTTTTCCTCTTGTTCTCAGCCAAGTATGTACGTCCCTAACGCTCAGAATTGGACTGATCAATCTGTACAGCAATTATATGCCCAGCAAATGATTCATCCGTCCATGCCTACTCCATTCACCTGTCCTCCAATCTGTGTAGGGGTACAGTCGAATCAACTTCCGTCACAACAGCATCAAATCGGTTCTTTCGTTTCCCCTGGACAACAACATCCTTTAGCACAAACTGCTGCATCTTATGTTTCATCTTCCCAGATACCTTCTCAACCATCATCACAAGTTCCTGAACCATACCGGTCCGAGCGTTTTAATTCACAACTTACTCACCAAGATGAAAATGCTTGGGTTGAGGAGGCTACTGCGGTTACTGGAGCTACAAGCGAAACTGGACTAAGTGGCGACAATTTTTCCCGGTTTGGAGCTCGTTACGGTCTAGCAAATTCACTAGGTATACATGCTAACGGTGGTACCGGCTGTAATATCAGCGGTGCTGCAGCTGCTTTAATACGGTCTGAAGCGGATGAAATAAAAATTTTCAAATGCTCGTACACGTTAAGTTTTGTCATATCTGCATTTCTTGGAATCGGTTCATTATTGTCTCCAGTTCTAATGCTTTTGCTCCCACTGTTTCCATTTTGGATTGGCTGGTCAACTGAAGGGTGTGAACCAACTTGCGAAGGACATCTCATCAGTATATCTGTAAAACTTGTGCTCCTTTCCATTGCACTGTGGTTTTTAAGCTCCCCTTGTCGACCATTTTGTGGTAATACTACCGTCATACTGCCACGTATCCGTCTTTGTCGAACTCTTTTTCTTTGTCTTGTGTTAGTTGTTCTGTTTGCATTTTGGTTGTTTTATACTGTTCGAGTTATACAACCAAAAGAATCTGATTATCTTTCTATAGTAGTTTTCGCCGGTAGTTTGACAGATACTTTACTCTTTTTACATTATTCTGCTATCGCCCTTATGGAACTACGTAAAATCCGATTTCAGTATGTCATACACATTGTGCGATCCCCAGATGGAACGTCAAAAACTTTGAAGTGTGGAGAAATGTCGTTGCAAAGGGCGGCTGTAGAAGTTTTACAGTTCTACATGGTGGAATTCACAGTATGTTTACATTTTATCGATCCCGGGTCTTTATTAGTATATTTTATTCCATTTGAATTTAAATAACATCTATTTGTTACTCCTGGCATATGATTTTCAGTTGTAGACGAAGTTACAAAGATCTTAAGTAGATTTAAAGAAACTTTATTTAGTTTTGTAATGTTTAGTTTTATAAATTCTGAAAAGTATGTAACAATGTGATTCTCCTTTAAACTTTTAGTACAGAACATGTTTACTGGTTTCCAAGAACATACATCAAAAACTATCTTCTGCACTTGATACCTTCAAAGACAGAATAATTGTAACATTATTGAGTTTATCTAGACTATGTTTATTAGTTCACTTATCGATCTTGGGAGTTTTACAGTATACAACTTACTTCCTGAATAACATTTCCTGTCCCGTTGTATTCATCAGTTGTAACTCCTAACTTAAGATATTAGTTACCGGCAAATGCATAGGTACAGCTTAAAGTTAAACATTACTTGATTATATCCAACTCAACAAATTAGTTCATTACAGCCGAAACAGTCGTGTAAGGAAAAAAAAACTGTTCACTCTCCTAATGTAGTAATAAAACATGTATTGTTATTACTACTGGTTATGTAATGCCTAGGTTAACTCAGAAATGTATTTTCTTCAAATAACTATTCTTCCTTTATATGACTTTCACCGATTATATAGTACGGCTTTCTACCTAAAATTCAATCAGTGGTGTATATATCTCACTAAATATGTTTATCGTATTAGATATACCTTCTACACATTATGTAATTGCTTTAATTGCTACGAAACTTCATTTTATTAAAAATGTGCATTTACAGGCTTACAACCCAAATCAAAACCCATCCCTCAGCAGTGGGGGTGGAGGCAAACGTAATCGTCGTGGTGGTTCTACTTCTGGTGGTGGGAATGGTAGTGGATCTAAGTATAAGTTTTACGATGTAGATAGTGGTGGGGCTGGTTTGGGAAAATCAGAAAATGGTGTTACCTATACTGTCGAGCAATCTTCTGGTGCCATTACTGCCCCTAGTGCTTCAGTTCGTTTGTACGAGGAAATTGAGTTGGAGAAACGGATACGTAAACGACGTATGCGACTTCTTTTAGCGGTTGAGGAAGCTTTTACTCATGTTAAGCGCCTTGCTGCTGAAAACTGTACTAATGGGGCGACTGCTGGAGTTGTCGAGTGTGATCAAACCTTGGTACCTTACAAAAACGCTCGAGGTGAGTATTATGCGCTTCTTCCCACCAGTTATGCTGCTTTTGTGTGTTCACGGCGCTCTTAAAGGCTAAGTACATCTAGGTAGCCTAGAATTCTAAGTAGCATTTAGGTCAATTTAGTGTACCTGACAAAATTATGTAGGTTTTCTGAAATAGCTGGAATGACTTTGAGGCTTTGTTTTCCGATTAATGATACAGTTGTTTGTTACCTGTTATTCATATTCTGTAAAAAACAGCCTATAGAAATACCATTAGCGTATTGTATTGCATATTACTATTATTTCAATCCTTTCGTTTTCTTGTTGTTCTAAATAAGTGGATCTTACACTTATGCATATTCGCGGTAGGTCTTGAGCTGTTTCTGAATGACTGGTCACGTTACATTTGTTACAATTGATAAAACATGATTGTGTAGCTGAGTGACGTAAACTTTTGTCATGTGAGTAGCAGAAGTTGTCTTAAAGTTATTCCCCAACCTAGTGTTTGATGCCGATTGAATTGAAGTTAGTTTAAAAACAACTAGATGTAACTAAACGAACATGTAACGTTAGTATATAGAATTACTGTTGAAATGAACGTATATCGAAGTATACAGCGAATAAAATCCTCGCAAACTTCGGCATAAATTCGATAACCTAATCTACCCATATTTTTTTCACTTGCGTTTCTATTGTTTAATTCTTGTGTTGCTAATTTTGTCGATTCTGACTGATGTACTTATGTACTAAGTTCTATAGTGTCTTCGGATTTGGTATAAAGAGTTACTTTAAAGTTAAGAATCATCTATCCTAGTCGCCACAATGCATACCTTGGTTATCATAGCAACTGTCTATAATGGTTCACCTAGCCTTTTGATCAACTTATTCTTTTATCTGGAATTACTGTAAACTGGTTTATTCCATTTTGTTTTACCTGATTTGAATAGTCATTCTGGTTAAATTAATGCGGAAGTTAGTATCTTCAATAGCTGTGGATTTTAACTACAGGTGCTAAATTACACATCTTCATTTCAGTGAATATAAGATTCTATACGGAACTTTATCAAGAGATGGGACTTGTACTTTACTTTTGAGCTTTAATGGGTTATCCGTTAGTTGCTAACTTTTTAGCTTAACTGATTCTTTTAAGATCCAAAGCGATGTTCTAAGATTCGCCTTAACAGTCACATGTGAGTTGGTTGGAGAATAAATAACTTAAAAGTTAATTTCCTCTGATCATCGATGACTTTATTCTGTGTATTTTGTGTTCATACTTTTTATATAAGCATGTTTCTTTAGTACATGTAAAGCTTCATCGTCCTAGTAGTCTTGTCTTTAGTTTTTAATAATTCGGGTCACATCATATTGTCTCGTTTTTCTAACGATTAGCATTAGTTACCAACTGTTGTCTGCGATTTCAAGGAAATCTATGTTACATCTAAAAATCCTGAAATTAGAAAATTCTTTGAATACTGACAGTAATGCCTATCAATTTATTAATGTACCTGCTTTTAGTCGCTTGACATAGTTAATCAAATTACGGGTAACCGAACAAAGTAATCAGTCTCATATACCGTCATTTTTCATTTGCCTGGAAGCATAACATCTATGTGTTGTATTTTTCAAAACAGTTTTGTTTAATATCATTTGTTGCAACTGTTATTGTTATTATTTCTTAGTACCACATTAAGATTGTAATTTGATTATTACCGCTCAATAATAGGTAATGGGAAGATGTCAAAGCTTAATTGCTCTCCAGGGAAATCTTTGGATCCGTATGAGGCAGCACAAGCTGTTTTCCCTACTCTCATCCGACCATTACAAAAGTATATGCGTGTTACGCGCCAACAGGCTCGTCATCCTGTGGATATGGTAATTGATCATCTCGCTCTTTGTCTAGCCTACGGTCTATCACCCCATGCTTTCTTGGAAAGATTTAATCCTTTGGCTGCTACACCACAACAAGATGCAGCTGCAGCAGCAGCAGCTATCGCAACAGCGAAGAGAGCTAAACATCAACAGAATGCCAAGCAAGTTAACACTTCAGACAGTCCAGATCCATATCCTATACTTCCTAAACTGGTGCACCCAGGTGGACAGCAGGTTTGGAGTATTGTGGCTGATCGGGCTCTATCTCGTAGTTTAGCAGATGGTGCTATATTTCAACTTCGTCGTGGAAATGAGCTTTCGCTGCTTTGTACTGTTAGACGCCTACCACTTATTTATCTTATTGAAGAGATATTAGAACCCTTGGAGGCAGGTAGATTTGTTTTACGAACTGATAATGCTGTATGACTTTTTAATAGAATTACAAACTGTTCAGGGAATGTGATCTCATCCATCTCATTTGCTTTTTTTAACCCATTTTTGGTTTGAATTTCTAAATAAACTCCGGTTTTAAGTACTATTTTGAATGTATTGCTCGGATCAATTTTATCCGTTTACCACTTTTTGCATTTATCTGAATTTCAGAATTCATTTGCTTTTCACAAAAGTTAAAATTTTTGGCCAAATTAACATTAATGTCTATATTGTATTTTACTCTGTTTTTGCTGCTGCTTTGTGTACTTTCATTCTTACGTTTAAAAATGCATTTTTCTTTATATTTATTTTCAATAAATAACCACTAGTCATTATAATAATTGTTATGAACCGGCATAAAATTCTTTGTTCACACTTCATTATTAACGGCAGTAATTCTGCTGTGTTGTTAATCTCGTTTTTACTCTTTTCCTTATCTTTCATTTCAGGCTTCCATTTGTCATTTCCGAAAAAAATCATATTGTAATAAATTTACTTCTAGCTTTATTATAATTATTATTCCCATGTACCGGTTTCGTTTATGGGTTAATGTCAATCACTTTGTTTTCTCAGTGAACTTAGTAGACTCGTCCTTTGTTTAGCAAACGAATATCTCGCCTACACCATAAGTGACGCAAGTTGGGAAGAGCCTTCTGTATTCATGCTGAGATTTCGTCAGTCACCATGCATACCAACGTCATTGATTAGACTCCCAAGATAAGTAAAGCGGTCAACACGCTCAACTACCTCACTCCCTATCACTAGCTCAGGTGTCGTAAATTTCTTCACTTAGCGAATGCAAAACAAACGACCAAAAATAATTTGAACAGCTTCACTGTAAATGATACATAATTAATTGTCGCGTAAATAAATCCTACAGTCTCTATTTATGGTAGTATTTATCTATAAGATCAATATACGAAAATTCCAGTTCAATAGATTTTCAACAGGAATATAAAGTAGTCTATTTGTATATATAAATTCACTAAAACAGGAGCTTGTGGAAACTTTATGAAGATAGATATAAGATTTTCGTTACATTCCTTGTATGTAGAGTATGCATATGGTTTTTGACATATCTGAACCTGTTTATGTGCTCACTATTGTAAAAAAGTGTCATCTGAGTCATATTTAGTTGCAAGAACTACAGTTTGATGGTGTCAGTCAGTTACAACGTAGAACTTCGTACGTAAGTACATCAGTTCAAGTTGTCATACCACATTAGCACCGAGATATAATTGTCAATTCAAATCCCATTGTAGTAGAGGTAGTAAAAGTATTAAATGATGAATCATGTTCAGAGTAAAGGCACACAATATGTTTGTAAGATTCGTCATTGGGTTTCAATGTTTTGGTTTTTGTAAGTAAATATGTTGTAGTTATGTAGATAATTCCCATACTGACTGCTGTTTTCGAAATAACTAGGAAAAGCTATCTGGATAACATAGTATCCTTTTCTTGTAATTTTAATCTGAACAATTTCAAATTAAATCACAACTAGCCTTATAATTTTAGCGAGACTAAGCTATTAGATATATATAACAATCCAAAATCCGTTATTCGAATATGTTATTTAAAACAGACTTCATTCATTATTGGTCACTAATTGGTAAAATCCGGGTATGTGTCAAACTCGAAACCTTGATCCGTCTTGCAGATATTGACTGTTTTATTCTTTTTATGTCTGTTATTTGATTTGAACATCATTTAAATAATACACGCATTTATCAGTATACAAATTTGCATGATTTCTAAATTATCATGAGAATAGAATTAATAAATTCAGTCATACATATGGTGGACAGTGTTAAACTTAATAATCATGAGGGAATTTCATTTCATTATTGTAGGGATAAGATAGATTTAATATCACGATAGGGTTTATTTATTAGATACACAAATGAGTAAAGTTTAGTCAAGTAATGTAAAAGGATGTTAGAAACAAAAGTGATAAGGTTTTTAATTAATAGGTGAATCAATATTATAAAGACCAGCTTATGTTTATGATGATGATGATAAATATTGAAGCTGTTTACTTTGTACACATACATTTTAAAGCATTCTTTGTTGTAAATATTTATCTACTACTTCTTTTCCAAGTTAGTATAGGACTAGAGATATTTTCTTATCATCATTTTCAACAATTCTAAACAAATACGATAGTCAAGTGATATCATTGATGAGAACTGTTTGTCAAATCTTAATAATTTCTTCTAGTAAAACGGTTTCAATTACCTACTACTAAAATTGTTCAAGATACGAATTGGTACTTTATACATAATTAAATTCAGATTACTAATAATTAATTCGATGCAGTTGGAATATTTTCAAAAAGTTGCATATTTAGACATTTATCTAAACTTAACAAAAACTTGACAAGTTTAAATATGGCCACATTTATTATACTCTTTTAGTGTTTGATTCATTGACAAGTAGACATTAAGCAGTGACTATTGTTTATATAATCTGTGATTTAAAAATAAAATGAAGTAAAATTATGATTTTCCTACGATATTACAATATAACACAGATTTTGATCAACCAGTATAAAAACAGGAAAATTGTGTTAAGAAAGGAGTAAAATAAAAACATGATTTCATTCACTATCAAAATAGTTTACTATCATTCATTATTTATGTAATGTATTATCCTTGTTTAATTATTCCTGTTTCTCGATTACTTCTTCGAAGGTCTTTCACTTTAGGGAAACCATCAAATTTCTCGCGATTTTTTCTCATGCTGTAGGCTACTTTAGCTTCTTCCATTAGCATAAAATGCTTCATATTTTCACGTTTCATCGATGAATCTTTGACTTCAATGCAAATATGACTTGGAAACCAGCCACGTCTACCATCAGGTAGTGCTCCTTTGAGCCAGCCTATAAGGAATTTAAAAAACAATCGGATGATTAGTTCCAAATTATTCTTGTTCTCCTCTGAAGATATATCATAAGAACAAATTTAGTTAATCTAGTCATATTTATTTTTCGTTTGATACTACTTCTTGCAGAAAGCATTTTATTTAAAACACACAATAAATTTCTAAGATATAATGAACACTGAAGCAACTTTCATTCTAAATGTGTATTCATTTCTTACAGTATTTTGATATTATTGCATTGTAGCTAGCAGTGGAATACTGAATGAATGTTCTTCCCTATTTATGACTTCAGCTGGACGGACTGATGTTGTACACCAGCGGGAATATGTACACTGATTCCAATGCGTTAAACACTGAACCATCGATTCCAGTTAGCCACCAGAGACAGGATAACACTAACTCTATTACAAATACCTTAGATTATTAAATCAATAATTACTATGAAATCTTCCTTCTAATGAAGAAGTGAGTGTACCCATCTATAATTGTAGTTCAGTTGCAGTTTTTATACCTGGTGCTGAAATTTCGGATGTCATAGCAAATAATTGGTATTTGGACTATATTTCTGCGAGCAAAATTATTTAAGTTTATTAGTATGTGTATGATCAAGACACGTTCCCAGAAACGAGTGAAAATTTTGAAGTTAGAATAAATCCAGATGGCTAGTTAATGTTTTTTGAGTACAATGTAATATTATTAAAGTTGATTTATCTAAATTATCTTGTAGTTTAATTATGTTAAGGTTGTAGTCAGAAATCTTTGTAAGCGTATATATACATAACTGTTAAGTAGCCTATATTTCGATGAATTGCATTGATAAGTGAATAAGTTAACTTATATTTTTATTGATATACGGAATATTTCTTATCGACAAATAAGGGATACGCGATGTTTATGAATTTAGCGGTTTAACTTTCTTCTAACATCGTAACTATTATGCTCTGAAGGTGAAATAAATCAAACTACTTGAGGATAAACTAAGCCATCAATTAATTAATTTGTTAATTGTTAGAATACGAATCTATCTATGCTCAAGGTCATTAAATCTGTGTAATTTTACAATATATCAGACTTTTTTTAAGAATTCTCTGTAAGCGAAGCATTGCATAAAAATTGAGCTATATATTAATGTCGGTGTGTTTTTATTATCCTCGACGAAAATAACTGGAGGCTAGCTTTAGTGTATAGTAAGTAATGAAAAAGTTTTGAAAAAAAATAGTAATATAAATATAATAAAATAGAATTAAAGATTACCATCTGATAGACAGATAAGTACATTAACTTGATCTCCCTCTTTTAATTCTAGTTCATCACATTCTAGAGCAGCATAAGATTTAGTAATGAGTACTTGAGGACATTCTGTGTAATAAGATCAAAGAAAATTTAGAAAAAATATATATTATTAACGAACAATTCATATGATCAATTGAATATGAAATTGTAAATAATTTGTATTTCCAATATCGGCTATACCAACTAATTAAAAACTTACAAAATTCAAGGAAGTTATTTTTGTTTCATCAACTACATGTTAAAACTTTAAAAAAGGTTAAGTTTTTTTTTCCATTTAGGTTCCTTGGCTTTTGCTTAGATTACCAATCTTAATAACATAATATCAGGCTACAGACGAAATAGCGCTTTTCATAATCCTTAATGAATCGCACAGCAAATCAATATAAGAGTACCTAAGAGCCTTATGTTAAAAAGACTTGTTATTATAGTCAGATATTCATGGTCTCAATCAATGTACTACTGATTCAATAAATTCTATTTCATAAACACAATAAATTTGTCGTTCAACATTGAAAATAATTCAGTAGTTATATACTACAGTAATCAGTAGGATAAAATGTCAAATTTCAACTAATGGTACAAAATGAATTCTTGATCAAAATGTTCATTTATTTTTGACTTAATTAACAATTAGTTAACAAACAATTGTTCCATTCAATTTTAATCAATCTAAACACATAGTCTTTGTGTAAATACTCATACTCTCAGTTGCACTAAATGATGGTTTATGCCTACACAAATCTTATTATAGTACTACTACTTACCACAGATTCCCGAACCTAGATTTTCAGGGATTCCATGACGGCCACTAGAAAGACCATCCAACCAACGCTCCCTTTTTGAACTATGTGAAAATCGTAGCATAACATATAGAAAAAGACATTAAAAGTAAATCATTTCATTGTGTTAAATATTTTAAAAAGAAGCAACAATTTTAATGTGTTAGGACAAAATTTTTAACATTTCAAAAATATATTAAAATATTAGATATATTATTTTCGTAAACCACTTTAATAACAGTGGCTTATTACAGTTACCTATAAATTAGAGAAAAGAGATTATCTTAAAAATTGTTAAAGATTTATGGTTAAACGTTAATTAATTATTTTTTTTCGTTCCATAAACCTTTATGGGCGAATATTTTATCGATAATAAACATACCGATCTATTGGAAAAAGCATTTTTACCGTAAACTATCTCATCATGTTAAAATGAAAACACATAAGATCGAATTCGATGAAAATATAATGATTGGAGACGGAACAACATTTAAGTGTACAGGTAGCAAAATCATCTGTTACCATGACCTAAAATTGAAAGAGACTATTACAGAAGTTTGAAGAAAGCTGTGGCTCTAAAATGACCAATTTTAATCCAGCTTATTTGTATTCATCTCGTCTCATCATTACGTGATGGTATCAAAAAGTGATTCTTATTAATTAAACTTGGGTCCCATATTTCACACTATTTGTTTTTTTGTCTCGAAACCAATAAATTTTTGGGACATGTCTTGACATTGAATGTCGAGTTGAGTAAAAGATAATGTTTAAATTGACATCAAATAACTTGACAGCTGAATCAGAAGTTTGGAAAGCAGAGATTACTAGGAAATAATGATCTCCAAAGATAACCACTATCCATTATAGTCCAAACAACAAACAGTAAGCAGTTTAATGGCTAGCACAAAAAAGAAGATACTATTTCCGTTTTCGACGAAGATTAAATCTTATAAATCTTCTCAGATATATTTACTATCTGAATACAGGTGATAGATTTTCATCAAACATCCAGCTCAGAGAACAAAACTCCATTACAGTCATCCACCTGAGCTACATATTTTCTCCACCATCTCAAAATTTTTATGAAATGTAATTCAAAGATGAAGATAAGTTAATATTAAAACAGAACGACGAAATAATTGACAAATAAGACTAGTTAGGTTCTTTAATTTTATTGCATTGTTTCTTTCTTATTTTACACAAACCGAAACTTCAAATTCTTTCAAACAATAATTATAAACTGATTGGATAGCGTAAAACAACATTTGAATGAAATTGCTAATTTAGGGCGCTGTATAAATGTCATAAGCATGATTGTGTACTAAAGTGAACGTGTGCTTAAATTCCGTACATATTATTCATAAAACATATTTACTGATCGCTGTCATAAAATCAATACCTCCTTATATGAACTGAATCTTCTATCTACTCAAACCTGCTAATTTACTAAGTTGTTTGGAAGCATCACCTATGATGTTCTTAGCCGCACAAGTAGATGAAAATTTCTATGCAGCGATAATGAGGTAAATGAATACACAGACCGATTTCAACCAATAATTTTTACCATTTTACGATTCATCTACTATCAAAGCAAATTTTGAGCATATTGATTTGAAGACATTTGAATGGGTAAAACAGTGGAGCTTATAGCCAAAAATTTATTTTAGAGAAGTTATTTCCTTCGAGTAAGACGAGGATGAGATTCACACAATAAAATAGTCATTCTCTTTCACGGATTTTCATTTAAGATAAATAGTCTATAACTACAAGGATTACTATGAATATATGAATGTAAACAGATGGTAAAGTTAAGGTAATAATAAAAAAAAAATCGAATGAGATTTATTTGTACTGTTAAGGCTTTTATTCCTTCAGTTGGACGAAAAACTGAATCAAGGTTCTTTCAGAAGAGTAAGTATGCTATGCAGACTTGGTATCAAGGAGAAAAAGTTTTAAGTACACACTCACTTGATCGACTGTATGTATTAGTTGAGACAATTTAATCTTGTGATAATGTAAGTTGTGTTCATACAGTAAGTTTTTAACTCACTAGTGGTAAGTGGTGTTCAGCTTCATTTATGCAAAATTTCAATATTAATCAATTTCTTATAAAGCATAAAAAGTCAGTGTAGCTGGATGTGATTTGGATTAAATTTTGATGTTCAGTCCTTCATCTGATGATTTTGTCTTCTTTCTTAAGTCAAGTCATATCAATTCAATGGTAGCATCATCAACATAGTTATATAAGTTTATTCATTCAGGAAAGTAAGATTTCCTAAGAACTTTTTATACCCCATGGAGAACTGTACAACTAACCATTCAGATAATTTCATTCTTTTGTTTTCGAAAGCAGATAAAGTTTAGTAAACTGAAAAGTTACTGAGAACCATCCTGAAATCAGTCTCCATAGTTTTAGCTAATGAAGACATGAAGCAATAGTTGATAATAAACAAGGTTTATTCTTTTCAATGATTTCTCTTCAGGTTCTACAACCATGTATATTCAAATTAATAATCTTAAAAGTGACCCAGTTTAAAGCAACTACCATTGGTTTCAAATTATAACATATTTGAAATCAGAATTGTTTGTGATATGCAATAAAGCTGTTAATAGTGAGGTGACGAATTCGAAGTGTTAACTTAAATAAGTTTGTATGTTAAATGAAATTGTGACATCAATGATCAAAATAAATGTGGGTTAGAAAGGATGAGAGAAATAATAACCAAGTTACTAAATTCGATCGAATATTTAGTGGTTAATGTTATATAAATTCGGTAGGAAATATCAAAGTTGGGTGAGTGTTAAGTAAATTGGTCATTTGATTAGGAGATTAATAGTAATATTAAACCAATAATAATAGTAATAACAATAATAATACAAATGGCGTCATATATTTGTTAATAATCTTTCTGAATTATCCCTTTTTCCTAAGTGTATTACACAAGGCACTTAGCTCATCTTTAGCTATATCGATTGAATATGTAGTACGTATCCGATATCTAAGAATTTTTATCGGGTTTCTTTTATGCTTCAGGGATACAAATCTGAAGGAATGTGTGGACTGCCGTGTCCAGGCATTTTTCTTGTTTAAATTCCTACTTATTAATCCATCCTAACTTTTTGTTCACTAAACTTCCAGAAGGCTATTCTACCTTCAGTTTCTTTTTCAGATGTAAACTTAATGGCAGGATGTACTTCATTAAATTACTTAACTACCTCCAGTTTTATTGTACTATCTTTCAAAGGATAAACATGTCAACCATATGTCGGCAGTAGAATGTAAATTTTCGAATAATCTGTTTAAGTAGAATGTTTTTGCAGTTTAGTTAGCTAGTATGGAACCCAATGGGGGACTTATAGTAACTCCGCCCGTTTGCCTATAAATTTTTTCATTAAACTGGAGATTCACATTCATGGTGCATATCAGTAATTATTCTTTTATTGCAATAATCGGGACTGTTGTTTCCATTTCATTTTCTCTCAGCTGTTCATATATATTCTACAATTTCCATGAGTGGAGCGTTTGTGAATTATCATGTTACATCTAAAGACATCATAGTTTGTCCCATAGTATTTACATGTTTGATCTTGTCAACAAATCGGAATACATTATTTTAAATCAAGGTAAAACAGTGAAAGATTGTAAGCTTAACTCAACTAGATTTACGAAGTCTGTGTACTTAGTAGGAGTCAGTATGTCAAAAAGACCTAGTTGATGATATTTACTAAACTTGATAGGAATTCATTCCAAAGATTTTATATATGACTACAAATATTTTCATTTGAAATCAACAGAAAATTGATGAGAATGTTTTATCTTACTCCCAATTTTCACTTAGATATCTTAAACCACTATTATTCAAAACATTTTTTTCTTTACATTGAGTCAACATTTTTATATATTTACCTTGTCAAGCATATCATTAGAAAGCTTTGAAAAAGACAAAGTTTGAAACCAGTGCTTGTGACCATTTAAACAATAACTTATGTCTAAATACTTTTGTCCCTATGTATATGATTGAAGTAATATGCTTCCAAATAAAATCAATCCTATCAATCATCTATGGGAACATCATGTACAATAAAGTCAAGTACTTAATATTGTAAGGTATTTTAAGCTTATTAACTTCACTGGACTATTCTTAGTGTGAACTTTATAAATAACATAAAAATAATTAAGTACGTTTAAAATTCGATACTGGTCTGTTGATGTGAAATTTGTTTAAAAATGCACTCTAATTTATTTATGTAGGTAGGCCTAAAATAAAATACATCAATTTATTGTGGTAAATGCAAACATTAAACAAAACCGGTTACTGAGATCATAAACTGATTTAGGTTAGACAACCGTCAGAAACGTAGACGTACTAGATAGTCGCTTTGTCCTAGCTTGGAGGGTCTTCATCTGTACGTCTCCGCAATCTCGCCGTCAGAGATTAAACGCAAGGCCTAAGGTCTTGTAAACCATCGGATCTTGGCCCAGTGGTCTACAGGTTAAGCATTTGTGAATGAGACTGGTGATCATGGATGGGTTCGATCTCCGTTGTAGATAAACACTAATGAGAAGTTCCATACTCGAATGAAACGTTTGTTCAGTACATTCAGGTTTTCATTGTTTGTCTGACTTAGATCCGTTCGTAATCTCAGTCAAACGAAATAATCCCCACAACTCTTATTTCATTAAAAGTGGCTATACTTACAGTGTTTCTGCTTGAAACAAATACTGAGCACGTGGATGATCAGGGCGTTCTATTGTTAGAAGAAACGAGAATCCGGTGATCCCAACATCTGCTGTATTTGTTGTATCGGTAAAAGGCTTTAGTGCTTTTGGATAATTCACTTTTTTTGGTTCATTAGCAGTCTGTTTTGGAAGTTCCAATGTATTTGTAAAAGTTACATGTTTTAATTGTACGCTTAGATTAGGATCTCCAGATTTGCAGAAATGGTGTACGAAACAATTTGGCACAGTACTTTTAACCTCCACATGAACACAGTCCAAGGCACAACTCTCTTCAACCATCAATTGTTGATGACTTGAATAAAGAAAAGATAAGCAGAAGGTTAAGCATTCGAATTCAGTTGTTAAACTATATGAAACCGATTCATAAATTATATGTATTATTATCAAGCTTAGTTTATTACAAGCGAACAGTTCGTAAGAAAATTAGTTTAATTTCATTCATCCGATAACAGTGGTTGTAGCATAATAGTTAATTAATTATAATGATTTTGCCTACCTACTTGAATAATTACATCATAATTTTGCTTTGTGTGATCGTATCTTGACGTTTACTCTATTAATCTAATTTCTGATTTCCAGGTCTGATGATATATTGATGAATTAATTTTACCTACTAATATCAATCATCCTCTACGAATTTCATGTATCATCCACATGTATAATACAAAAAAAACTGTTTATCACACTAGTTATTCCATATTTCAGTACGACTGTACAGAATTTGAAAATGAAGTCATTCGAATCATTTGAATTCAAATCATTACTGAAAAAACTAGAGAGATAACTATGGCACGTTTACCATTGATAAGGGTTTTTTGAGATAATTTTGGTGCACACTAGAATAAAATTTATCTATATAAAGATATCAGATAGATAAGCCTAGCTCTATTAACAACTTCTGTTTCAACTAAATAATCTATTAATAATATTTATATAAGAAACTGGTTAGAAAAAGAGAAAAATCAAATTAAATAATATTGAGTCAGTTGCAGCGCAGAACGTGCTATATACGCACATCAGATCAAGTCGTCATACCAAATTAACAGAGAGGGGTTCAAACTGTCACTTCATATCCAGAGGTAGTAAAGGTAGTTACAGTATTAGTGACAATAGGAAAGAAAGTGAGAGAACAATTTAAAAAGGAAAGGTCACAAAAAATTCGAAAGTTTATAATTTGGAGAGAGATGAGGAATGGATGCATCTGCTCCATTGCAGACGATTTTGAGTCATGTCATTCGAAGTCTCCAACCATCGGACACGATTATCATACGGACCTCAACCAGGTAGTCTACAACTATTCATGTGGCCCAATCCATTGTCACTGACTTCATAGACTGGTGCCATGGTTTGAACGCCCTCAGCTTTCTTCCAATCTCCTCTTACATCAGACAGCATTGCCCATTGAGGTATTCAGTGGTCTAGCATACATAGAGAATATCCCAACCACCTCAACCGGCGAAGATTCACTACATTATCAATTAGCTGGCCATTCTTACCTCGTGCCGTATTCCTCACCCAAGCACCGCCTATTCAGTGGTCCCAGAATATACAAACAATGCTTTGAAGAGATTTATGATCAAATACTGGCAACTTGTGAATATTCTCTATCCTTAATAGCCATGTTTCATACCCGCAAAGTAAGAGCTAACAGCTGTACAGTGAACTCATCCTTTGATCAGCAGACGTAAGGAGACGCAAGTTGGCCATAGCTAGTCAAGCCTTCCGTGTCCGTATCGGGACTTCGTCAAATAATAGGTCATACGCACTGAAGAGACTCCCAAGGTAAGTGAAGCGGCCGACATACTCAACTACAAGCTCTCTCATTGATTCAGGTGATGACGCAAACCAATCCTGAAGCAGCATTTTGATTTCAAGGTGGAGAACCGCTTCCAAAATACATGTGCATTGTTGCCTAAAGTGGTTGGAAGACTGGATCTTGTCAGCGTCTTCACCAAACAAAACTCCGTCATCGGTATATTCCAAGTCAACAAGTGGATCTTCAGGTAGAAGGTCAACTCATGAGGGGTCAGACGACGAAATTGTCGATAAAGTTAGGTAAAAAGAGGAAAGTAGACAACACTGATGAACACCACTTGAAGTAATCAGTTGTGATATCTGGCCATAAGCTCCGACTTAACCAGCAGTGCTTGAGTAGGGAGCCTGTACACGGTTAATGCACTTGTTTGGTACTCCTTTCAATCGTAGACACTGCAATAGAACCTCACCACCAAGAGTCGACGCTGCCTTGAGATCAAGAAATGCAACTATTGTCGGACGTCGAAAAGTTTGTCTACATTCTAGGGCCTACTAAAGTGTGAATATTTGGTCTATGAATGCACGTTCACGTCTGAAACCAGCTTGCTTTTCTCGAGTCTGCTTATCACGGGCTTTAGTTAGGTGTAAATTTTAGGGGTCACCATGTCAAAAGATGTTTTTCCTTATATCTAAAGTTGGTATTCGTTAGAAAGAGGTGGTCATCTAAGCATAGGTTCAGCATCCATCCGATGAGTCTTTACCTTTATTAACTGCAGGTGTTTTCTGCTTTGTCTTGGATATATTTATTTATCGCCCACGAAGCATCTGGAACGAAATCGGAAATATTATTACGCTGAGAAATCACCCTGCAATAATAATTTGACGCCAAAACTCTGCGAAATACTCTCGCATTCAGCCAACTTAGATAGGAATGAGCTTGACTTCCGGAATCGCTAATGGCACTAACTCGGGTGTTAATCAAAATTTTATAACCCCAGTGCCAAACTCATCGGTAAACATCCAGCAGTTAAATGTTTGAGCACTACGAGATGCACCAGTAGCACCTTGATGAGTTTATTAAACAGTGGACTGTCTGTTATCCAACAAATGATGGTTCAAGCACGCGGTGCACAGGATAATTAGCATATTCCGATACATCGACGCCAATCCGTTTCCTGATGAAGGACAGATTTTAAGGTCAGTCAGTCAGTTAGTCAGTCAGTCAGACAATCAGTTGGCAACAACGAGAACTTCGGACGTACGTACATCAGTTCAAGTCGCAATAATACTTTCGCACGGAGATGCGATCGTCGATTCAAATCCCATAGTGGTAGACGCACTCGAAGCATATACAATCTCCTGGATTGAGAATGAATAATAAGCACATATTATTCCGAGATAGTCTCACTAACGTTCGGATTCCTAATGCCAGTCTCTTTGATAAGTCTGGTGAGCCCGCCGTGGAATCTAACACCCACTACAAGGCGACGGCGAGTGCCCCTATCTTTGAGAATTCGTATTGTCGCATTTATTCGGACTGCACATGAGCGACTGTCTACTGGGATCCAGTCCAAGAGAGCTAGTCCTGCCGTAGGCCTCAATGCCATACATACACCAGCGAGGCCACGGGAAGCAGCAGCAGGGTTTCTAGATACACGAAGTTTGAATCGAGATGGTTCTTTATTTTGACATGGTTAGGTCAAATAAATCACTGTACTCGGATCTCTTACGCGTTACGGAGACGCATTATACATTGATAGCGCAAGATTCCAAAGTCCTATTTAAGCAAGCCTGTTGTTCGAACATTGAAAGCTCCAGCATGTACTTTAGGGTGTGGTTTCAGGAAACCAAGAATAACGTCTTGTGTACTCGAATCATTTGTATCAGTGGCACCTAGTGATAGAGGATCGTGATGTTTGGTCATTCAGGTATCAGGGTTATTAAGAAGTATAGAAAGAATTTATTAGTGATTAGTTGGGCATCGTAAGCCTTTACAGATATGAGTGTGGTTGTCACTTACCGACTTTCCACACCGCGGAAGTGCACTTATTGAGGAACCTGTAAAGGAAATTGGATAAGTGTTGTTTTTAGAGACCGTGAAGCGTGACCGCAGAGCCCAAGGGACGACTGCCTGAGGTCGGTCGCACACGGTGCTATCTCCGTTCTTCAAACAACCTTATCTCTGGAAACTGAAATCAGTGGGGTAAGGTGAGGTGTGACATTTTTTATTGTCGGTCTTTTCTAATTCCCTCCTTCCTTGTGAGGAGGCAGCATCCCTGTATGCGCTGATTGTCCGAGGGAAGCACCTTACTGATGTCACAACCCTCTACATTCAGCAGTGTGGCTTCGACCTCAGATCTTAAGTCGCTGTTTTAGTTCTACATTCTTCCAACTAACCTATCTGGCATGGTTGGACTTAAAGGAACACGTGTTCCACACAATATAGTTCGTTCGAGTCACTGCGACAGTCCGAGCACCACGTCAAAATAAAAGCTACGGTTGGGATCCATTTCATACAATATTTAATTGTTCGTTCAAACTGGAGTCATATTTCGGGCCATTAAAGTGGTGGGCCCTACTTCAAACATAATATAACCTGCAGAAATACGTTGACAAAGAAGCTCTCAAACCCATGTCAAGTAGTCGACAGGATCAGAGTCACATGAGACTATATTTTATGAACATTATGGTCGAAAATGAATTTCAACAATAAGTAATAAAACCTGATAAGATTTCTTGGTTTTTTATGTAGTTTATCAATATACTGAACACGACCGTTAAAACACTTTAATAAAAATATAAAGGGTGATAAATTCTCTCAAAAAAATTTCGTGACACAATATGATTTACATAAATGATGGCATTAAAGGAGCTGGAATAAGAATAAAATACAGTTCACAAAGCGCACATTACCTCCGCTTTTTAGTGATTAATAAATAATCACTGAACAGAAATAAAGTTGCGACTGCTGCCTTTTGCTTACGGATACTGCTGAAACGACGATGGAATCCACTACCCTGTAAATTCGTCATTGTTAAAATACGTAGATCCCCTTCTTTTATGAGCGTCCGACTTTCAGTAGCCAAAGACTTTTATTAAGATTGATCATATATAAAATCAAAATAAAATCGCAGTAATCGAAATGTGAACATGGAAATGAAGAAAATCACTGAATGTGGTCAAATAATCAAAAAGAAACCAAGGTATGTTTTCTACGAATAAAATTATGAAATATGTCTCAGGAAAGCGAATGTTGAGGCTAAATGGTGTCTGGCATACATGACCTATATAAATGGTCATCCAAGAAGAATAAGATAATATTTTAAACAAGATCATTATTTCAAAAACCTCTACCACAGAGTTAAGTCTCCTATTAGAACAACTTATATATATCACAACTCTTGACTCTAGAACTAGTTGAACTGTCCGTCAGGTTGCAAAAGCAAAGGCCGGAAGAAAAGAAACGGAGCGCTTACTCTAATAAGAGTCTACGGAGAAAGCATTTATTTTTAATTCATCTTAGAGACTGAAAACATTAAAATCATCTAATCATCTTATACTATAATGATATTCTATAGATTCTGTCGGGCCATCATTGAATGGGTATTTTTTAGTTACTTGTAAGCATCTGGATCCTTCTATCAGCCATCCCAACATATGGTATTGTCAATAAAAATCCTAATGACAAGCGAGGTGTCTCAATCAAATTTCGTTATTCTACAGATTTATTTCTGTGTACATGTGTTACACAAAACATATTGATGGTCAAGAATGTTAAACTTTAGTTGGGATGAGATTTTGTGGGATTTAACTCAGTTTACAAATATTAAGAGAGGGTTGGCTGAGGGTGTACTACCCAATGGGTTGTTATTATTGAACCTCAGATGGTATGTCTTAATTACAGAGGTGCTCTATACCGAATTGAATAAGCGGAAATAAACAAAAGAGGACTGATAATGTGCAAGTAAACTTTTGTACTTTTAAGAAAATCAAAATGTTACCTATTCCATAAATATTAACATACGACATTTTAATACATATCAAGTATATCGGGAAGAAGGAACTCAAAAACTCTTTTCAATAATCTATTAAATATCTAGTTGTCTAGAGTTATTCATTCTTTAGAACTATTTTTTCATTAGGGATTTATATTCTTATCATAATTTCTCTTGTTTTGAGAATAATAACGAAGTCATAATATGATTATTTGATCTATTGTAGATATGTGACTAATTTGTTTAAAAATAAATTAAAGTCACTCATTTGAATTTAATAAAACAGAAATTACCTTTGCATCATATTTGTATTCTAATCTTCTACAAAGTTCTACAAGACGTTCTTTTTGTTCCATATGAGCTTTTTCTGAATCACATTTACTGATAAGCTGTACGGAAAAACAACGTGAATTGTTAACTTAAAAATTGTAGAATAAAGTGGTAATTAAAAAGAAAAAGGACTGTAAAACAAAAAATGTTCTATATTAAGCTTATTTAATCTAATTACTCTGTTAGTATAAGAGTTAACTGAGATATTGCAAAAGTATACTTGGTCATTATTCCAGTTGCAGTGCAAAACAAATTATTTTCCTTTCTTGAGCCAACTTACAGATCTCTGTAAAAAGTTGTTAAGCGTATTAGTCATTGAATTGTTATGATTATTATTTTGAGATCCTAAATACTGATCATACATGATTTCAAACTTCTGGAGACATGAGGCTGATCATCGAGTAATATATGGCTGATTTACCGCGGATAAGTGTTCATTTCATAATCAATCACTTTTCAGAATAGGGTCATGAAATTTATTGACTTCAACTGAAAGTCAGGAAGATACAGCAAACAAGAAACTACTAAAGAGCTGTTTCGTCTAAGTATAGGACTTCTAACCAGAGTGTATGAAAGACCAGACTACCAGGGATCAAACCAGAGAACTTCATTCTCGTCCCCCTATACATAACCTCTAGACCACTGAGCCAAGATCCAACGAAGTACAAGTCCAACTTCAATCAGTCTGCAAAATTACATGGCAGTCTGCTATCACTTTGCGGCTTCCAGATTTATAATGATTGTTTAAATTATATCGGTTCGTGATCCTAATAAGAATTATTTGGATATTTTATGTTTTCCTATTTGTAATATTGACCTCCAGCTCTATATATTTGTAAACTGAGTTAAATCCCACAAAATTTCATCCTAACTATCTCCGACAGTAGCTGTATTGTTTGACCTTATGGCAACATTCGACTTTGTTGCCCATGAGATTCTGTAGTAGTGTTTTTCAATGAAAGGATACCAGATAAGTACAATAATCTTATAAAAGGTCTCTATTCGAACTCTACAGGTCGAGTGATAGCTTATTGCGAACTGTAATCAGAACTGTTTATTTCATTATCGCTTAACTTTATCATAGACTTGCTTTAAGAAATGACATTATCTTTGTGTGATTTCTTAAGAGTGGACCTTTTACCAGGAAACTCGCTTGTTGACTTAGAATATACCGATGACGTAGTTCTACTTGAAGATGCTGACAAAATACAGTCTTCTGGCTACCCTAAGCAACAATGCAGGCATGTTCGGGATACGACTCTTCCCGTCGGAATGCGAAAATTTGCATCTAGACTGGGTTGCACCGGCATCTGAACTAGTGATAAGGAGTGAAGTAGTTGAGCGTGTTGACCGCTTCACTTATCTCGGGAGTCTCATTAGTGCTGATGGCCTGGTGACTGACGAAATCTCAGCACGGATACAGAAAGCTCGATTAGATTTTGCCAACTTGCGTCACTTGTGGCGTAGGCGAGATATCCGTTTGCTGACTAAAGGACGAGAGTACAGCGCAGTAGTTCGCTCCGTCCTACTATATGGCTGCAAAACACGGCCAGTCAGAGTAGAAGATATTCATAGGTTGCTTGTTTTTGATCACCGGTGTCGTCGAAACATTGCTCGTATATCGTGGGACAACTGAGTAGGCGATGCTGTTGTTAGGAAACGGGTACTAAGTAGGCGGGCAGATCGACTGATGAAGTAATGAAACTTCATCAGTTGAGGTAGTTGGAACATGGTACATATGCCAAACCACCGACAATTTCGACGAGCTGGGTTTGGTGGTGTAGGAGTAGGTTGGAAGAAAGCTAGGGGTGGCCAAACCAAAACATGCCAGCAATCCATGAAATCGCTGACAAGTGGACTGAGCCATGTTGATGGGTGCAGACTACCTGGTTGGAGTCTTTGAGACTAGTAACCGATGGTTAAATACTTTGCAATGGCGCATGTGCATCCACTCTCTGTGTTCCCTCAAATTCTAATCTGAATTCCTCATGACCTTCACCTTTCTCTTTATTAGTTTATTTCAATGGATTATACTCCTTGAATAATATCTAACCGTAATCTTCCTGGATAATGCATATATTACTACTACCTCTACCACTATGGGATTTGAATTGACAATTGCATCTCTGTGCTAATGTGGTATGGCAACTAGAACTGATGTACGTACGTACGAAGTTCTACGTTTTTAGCTAACTGACGAACTGACTGACCTGTTGAAATGAAACTCTCCTTCGATATACCTATATCATTCTTAGGCCACTCCGTTCTTTCCATGGCAGTCATTATTTTCTTAATACAGTTTCGTGAATGAATTTACTTCATACATTCATTTGAGAAGACAGATAATAGAATACGAAGTGAAGGAAAGGGAAGCTCAGACAGTTAGTGAGCCAATCCAATTGATGAGGCATGACTAACTATTTATGATCAGACAAAAATAAACTAGACATGTGATAAGCGAAGCAGGTAAGCAACACTACACGCTTAAATAAAACTATCCAATGTTTTAAGCATTTAACAGACAAAGTTCAAATACATGTTAATAAAAACTGGTGAAGAATGGACTAATTGCCGTGTCCAAAGGCTGAGGCATATCATGTAGGCTTGGCATATAGGCACAGATTACACTGTTATACTAGGGAATAAAAAGCTCGGTTTATTGACCACTTTTTGTTCGATCATGAGATATGTTTTATTGAGAAATGATAAACTGTGAAAGGGCTTACACAATATGAGCGCATTATTGATCAGTATGGTGTGTAATCATTTTGCCAGATACCAGTCAGTATTTGTGCGATTTAATAGGGCTTTTGTAAAAAATTTAGGTTGGAAGTTACATATATTTATAAAATTTGTATGTTATTTATTATTTTCAAACTGACATTTAAGTGTGAAGTACAGTTTGCGGTAAAAAAAAGTTTATCTGCAAACTTACGTTTTCTATAGATGCGAGAGCTACCAAACCACTTTGATATGTGGCACTGTCTTTAGGAGCATAATGTAATATAGCCAATAATAAAAGACGTAAACGTGTAACCCGTTGCATAGGTAGTAATAAGAATGAATTGAGATCTAGATATCCACAACTTGGCTGTTGTTGTATATCACGAATAGCTTCTACAAAAGTCGGGCAAGATCTAAAATGAAAAAATTTATACAGTTTTCAAATTTCAGATATCAATTTTTTTTTAAAAAAACAAATCTTCAAATCGAATTAAATTTTAACATGGAAAATTGAAATTTGTCAATGAATAGTTTAATTGTACTTTTTGAAACAATTTTACAATTAATGAATTGCAGATCATATATAATGAATGTATCTTAGTTTTATTGGATTTTCTAGTTGTTGTATTTGACAATTGAAAAAGCAAATTTTAAATTATCAACATATTAATGTACTACTCTATGTATAACAAATGATTTTAAAAGATTTAATTCATTGTTTAAAAATCTTATGATCACTAGTAACAATAAGATCAGAATATTTTTTTTGTACGAATAAATATTTATTTCAATAATAATTCGGAAATTTATTCACTTCGTTTCATTGTTTCTTTCGACTTTTATTTTTTAACTGGATTATTTGTTCTAATTATAAAAAAATTAGTTGTAAAGAAATTTTCAAGTTTTTTAAATAAGATGATGAAAAATTTGTATCATTCAATGGATTATTTTGTGGTGGTGGTGTTTCGTTCTCTGAGCTGGTTGTTTTGGTTGTGAAGCTTTCATTGTTCTTCTTTTGAACAACATCATCAGCACAAACTTCAGATAGAAGTGAAGCATTGACCCAATTTATCAACCAATCAGAAAAATCATAGGTGACATAAGATCAAGAAACAGATCAAAAATGGGATACAATCAAAACAAATATGCAAACAATGACAGGTTTAAGGTCAACAACAACCAATCAAGATCGAGGTTAACAGAACAAGCTACAGGTCAAACGTGGAGAAATTCGAATGCTTCACTTCTGTCTGAAATTTGTGCTAATGATGTTGTTCAGAAGAACAATGAAAGCTTCACAACCAAAACAACCAGCTCAGAGAACCAAACACCACCACCACAATCATCCACCTGAGCTACAAGTTTTCTCCCCCATCTCAATGGATTATTTCACAAGAATGTTTAATTTTTAATCAAATAAAACATTTGAAAACCATGAGTTCTTCTTTTTTCAACTGTACTTCAAATTTCTTATTTTGTTGCTACTAATATGTAGGCAAGCATATTTGCTTTATGTTTTTATACAGTTCAATTTTTACTTTCTAAGGATAATTTGTGCTTTAAAAAAAAAAGATGAGTTAGGCATGAAAAATTTTTTTATCAAGGGAATAAAAAAATATTTTTTCATTGAATAATCTATTATAAATCTGTTTTTGTTTTTTTTTAATGATATTTAAAATGATACAACTTTGATTAATTTAAAACAACTTACAAAAGTTTTGTTAATGTTCTTAATTGATACATTTGATTTTGTACATATTTTACATAACTTTCAAAGTGAAATTCAGCATGCTCATAAATAATTTCACATAATTGTGGTATCAATGGATTTTCAACAAAATATACTTCCAAATCTCGAAGAAATCTAAATGATAAATAAATAGACAAAACATTGACAATCTAATGATAATAATGTTCAAAATGAAATTTTAAAATAGTTAACAAAACTCAGAGAAAAAGTGTAGGTGGGATGTTCTGGTTATTGCCTATTGTAATAATTTGACCATTTCGACTGTTAATGGGAATAATAAAGAGAATATATTGGAATTTAACCAATAACTAATCTGTAACGCGATTTAACGTTTTTTTCTCAACGATATATACTACTTAATAGTAGTTGCATATTTAACGGGAAAATTAAATTCTATTCAATGTTGTTTGCTTTTATCTCTTAGAATTGATTGAAAAATTTAACCGAAGGGCTATCGATTAACAGAGACATGGGCTATTATAGTTGGTCTGATTGACTGGTTTTAACTTAATTAATGGCACCATATCATACAAAGATTTTCGATACTAAAAAAACAAACTGGAAGGAATTTTCTGATCTAAGTAATAATATTATTCATTATTAGTTTAATCTTCTGTTAGGTTTGAAAAAGTAGAAGTGAAGAATAATACTAATTTTGGTGTAAAAACTTTCAGTTTTCATTATTCATCGTGGAGATGGTGAAGTATTTATTTTACGGTTGTGAATATGTGACTATTTATTGGATATAAACTATCGAAATGGAGTTGGCCTCTCTGGAGAATCTATAGCCACAGGGACACAGGGTTGAAATTAGAATTTAAATAATTATCATTTCAGAAATAAACTAGGGACAAAAGACGTAAATCAGTTTAAATGTATTCCAATCAGTAACAGTTATTTCACAATAAAGCATAATTCAAAGATTTTCATAAGATTCGTCAGCATATTGTAGAACTCTTATTAACGTTCCACAAAAATGCTTTATTTGGATGCAACCTCATATTGAATGTAACGGGAACTTAAGATCAACAACTAATATGATAGATATTTGATGACGAAGAACAACAGTCGAATCTGATCAAATGAATGTATCTGTGGAGTATATAAGTAGATTGACAGTGATATGTACCATTTAATTTTTTACATATGAGTGGTGTACAAAACGATTCTTAAGATCTGACTACGCGAATGATCATCAAGTATTATTTATAATTCTGCATGAAAATGTTGTAGTGCCTCCACATATATTCCATTTGCATTTATTTCGATTAAGCCCTTTCGATTAGTTTATTTAACCAAGCCATTCGTATAGGAACAATTTATATGTACCATTCGTTCTTATTATTGTCTGGTTTGTATGAGCTCACATGACATGTTCCACTTGTCATTTGACCTTGTCAATCATTCGTCGCTTTTATTCATGTGTGCCTATTTCGCTTGTTGCATGTTCATTCGCCTGTTCATTCGCATTGTAATCTTAGGAGTTGGCTCATTAGCCCTCTCCAATTCACGTCGTTTTGTACACTTTGTTCGCTGCTTTTCAACTTCGCTTTCTGGTGTGTCCAAAAATAAACTTATTCATCACTTCGAATTCATCTTCTGATTTATAACCGTCAGACGCTAATTTGTAACGACTGTCTAGACGAGTTAATTACGAAGCATAAGAACACGCAGTAAATTGGCCACCACAATGTTTTGGTATAATTCTTAAATATACAAGATTTTTAAATAAAAACCAAAAATCAACATGGTAAAATGAAAACTCATGTTTAAACTTACTGTTCACTGATACAAGATATTTCTGATATATTGGAAAATAAGTGTCGCTTTTCGATTGCCGTTATAACAGCTGTTTTAGAATCTGGCTGCATACATGGGGCTTCATAAAACTTTTCCATTAAAATATGCAGGGTTCGATAGTAAGACGCTTCTGACGTTATAACCTCAAACAGTGCCTGGAAAAGGAAGATAATCATTTTGATATCATGGATTAGTAAGATCGCAAGATACTTTTTGTCTTTAATTCAGCGACGACTGATACACCACTAATATTTTTATGCAACAAGAAAGTCACATAAATAAAAAAAACCTGCACGTAAACTTGTATATTCTCTTTACATGGTTGAAGAGCATCCTGTTATTTTACTACTTTCTGAATGTCAGATGAGAAAACCTCAAGTCCTAGAAGTTTACTTTTGATTTTACAGAAACAAACAAAACTGAAGATCATTTTTTTTATCAAACTATTTCTGACATCACACAATTTTGACTTGTGATTGTGTGAAATGCGATGATAAACTAGTATGAGTAGAGCGTTTCGATTATTGTTTAACATTATCGTGTATTAGAACTCATGATTTCAAAAAAAGATCAAACAAAAACCTTTCACTTAGTGATCTGTGTTGATTTCAAAATTTTATTTTCCTGTAGTACCGTATTTTTCTAGCGTTACAAAATTGCGAAATATTCAATAACAATGAAACGCTGTGAAATACTGAAATAAAAAACTAGAATATTACACTCAATGAGTGCGATTTGATTGGACTGGTTCTAACTTCATATTTCAATAAATAGCTACCTTGATCGATATTGATTTGATATTTGATAACTCGAGAATTCTATTTCTTATCAAGTGATTGTGTGTGTAGTTATATGTCATGTTTTGTTACTTCATTCTTCTGTATGTGCATACGTGTTTCGTTTAACGAATGTGAAGCAACAGTATTTGATTGCATAAGAACACCACTTCAACCATTTAATAGTCATTTAGTACGGAAACTACCATTCTATGTAACAAGTCATACCATGCAACTTTTTGAACTGTTTTCATTTCCCTAAACCTTTACAGTTTGCTAGCATTAGATAATCATAATTTGTACAACCGATCCGTTATCATAGCAGAAAATCATGACCAAGCATTTTAAGTGTACTCTTGGAAATATGGGACTTTTGAGTTTTGGTAATATCATTGTACACCATACATCTTAATGCAAAAAAATGAATGTGCACTGGTCTGTTACTAAAGTCATCTAAATTTTATTTATGAATTAGTTCTATTGGGCTATCCTTAAGCTAACTGAAAAGTTCCTGGTGTCTCTTAGTCTTTATATATATAGGAAATATCAGAATCATAAATGGAGCAATTCGATAATAATAATAATAATAACCACAGTGGAAACATACCTCTTGCAGTTTCTTTTGATATTCAGGAAGATCCCGTGCCAAGTCTGCACTAACCACTTGAGGCATTTCAAACCACTGTACACGATTAGGTCCAGTTCCAGCAACTTCATTCACAAAATCATGAACTTCTTGAGTCTTTCTACGTGGCTGAGGATTATAACTTCGATTTCTAATTCTTTCACTAGCAGAATGATTGCGTCTAAATGGAGAATTTTTCAGTGGGGTACTATTTCTAGATCCAAATAAGGAATTCGGTGAACGAAATGATGAATTTCTTACTTCTAAATTTCTCATATGAATTGATGATAGTGGACTATCTTTTAAATTATCAGGTAACTTTTGTGAAGACTGTCTATTTGGATCGGATGAATCACTGTCTATTGAAGTAAATTGTTCATCATCAAATTTTAAATTATTTGATGGGTTATTCAAAGAACCCGGTTGAACGATAGCTAAACAATTTAATGACAATTAAATAAAAGATTAGTTTACTCTTCTTTGTAAATTAAAATTATTCGACAAATTTATTAAGTTCAAAATAATGTTACATTCATTATTTGAGTTTCATATTTTTAGTTCTCTTTTAATTTTGTTTACACGCCTGATCTAATTTAGCATGTTCGAGTGTGTATACGCTGCAATGGAGTTGAAGTTATGACATAAATTAGCAGTGGTTGTCTCCAAGATCGCTAAAATATCTTGTCACCGAAATCAGAATTTTCACTGCGAACGTCAAGACAATTCTAATGTACGGAATGGAGTCTTGGAAAATTACCATAACCCACTGCTGAAAGACGCTTGTGTTTTTTATTAGTTGCCTCTTCAAGATATTCTAAATCTCTTGGCCAGAAACCATCGTCAAAAACTCGCTGTGGGTAAGAACAAACCTAATTTCAGCCGATGAAAAAATTAGGAAAAAGCTCTGAAGATGGATATAAAACACTACGGAAATCACTCAAATGCTTCAAGAGACAAGCCTTCACTTGTTATCAATCCAAATGAGAAGAGGTGCACTAAAGAAAAAATTGCGCTGAGAATTGGAGACAGACATGAAAAGAATGAACAGTGATCGGGAATAAGTGAAAAGGAGAGTTCAAGAAAGAGTTAATGTGAAATTGCTATTCGGGATCCTATTCTCCACAAGGGGTAACAGGTTTAAGTAAGTAAGTAATAAGTTAAGGCGGACATACAATTGGAATAAATGTTGATGAAAAAGAAAGAAATCTATTTGAATGATTTATTATTCATAATAAAAATGTGATTTTTGATTATGTCTTCATGAATACTACAAGGAATAAGTGATATGAATGAATAAAAAGTCAAACTGAACAAATTGTTCTAATGTAGTAAGTACTAAGTATATATGATAATTAATTCCAACTAAAATTAAAACTAAAAGTAGTTTAATCATTCATGATATGGATGGATAATAAGTTATAATAAGAAATTATAGTTTGTTTATAAATGAATTTATCTATTCAAATATATTGAATTGGACGCTCGTTTAGGTGATGATCTATCATCAATAAAATTATTTATGTTGCATTGACAGATGGATTTTTTCTTGAATATGAAAATAATTTTACTGTCTATGCTTTTAATTGTCTTTTAATAAAATATACTTATAACACCAGTAAAGTGAATTGTTTATAATCAAGTTCTTTAAACATCCATTAAATCCTTGTAAACAGATTACTCAATTTTTCGATGAACAAAGAGGTAATAATAATAATAATTACCAATGGAAACAGCTTAATTCAGAAAAAAGTAATGTAAATCACAAATAATCCATGATTATTCAATCTAAAGACAAGAATATAATTTCGAAACTTATGCAAAGACTAAAAGTAGCAGGTTTTATGCGTACAATAGAGAGAAGTAAAAAATAATAAGTGTTAATGTATTGATTTTGCACATTCACAAACTTATTACTTAAAATATACATTTTGTTTAAAATGTCATGTTTAGAATTTGATACGAATTTGTTGATCACTTTACATTTAACAAAATGATATGGTATCTTGCTAAGATTCGTTGTGTTTTATTCAATAGTAATCGAAGACAGTACTAATTACATAATAGAATATATCAGTTTCTGGATGATGCTTCGAATATTACGGAGCACTAAATTGTCATATATATTACTATCACTGGTTCAATTTAAAATTTGAACTGGCATATTAAAAATTGTTTAAATCTATGATCAGTTAGTTCAACTCTTAACATAAAATTTATTTTTTAGTGAATACTGACTTCACAAACAAGTATATTCATTAGAAAAATTGTTTCGTTACAGAAGTTGACCAAAAGCATTTAACATATTGAACTGGATACTGGATATTGTAAATCTAATAAATTAGATCGTTTGATGGTATATTTTAAGTTGGACATGAACTGAGAAGATTCATCCGAAAATATATGTGAAAAATGAATAAAAATAAGAATTACACTTAGAATGAACTAACCTAATATTCGTTGTGCATCACGTCTTGATTCACTAACTGAAGCTTTCTCCGTATATATTTGATATAATGGAGCATCACGGATGATAGATTTATATTTTTGACGTTCTTTATAATTTTTTAAGGAATTCTAAAATGGATAACAATAAAACATTTATGTATTATTTATACTTGAATTTTGAATTGAATTTTGAATATTGTGGTAAATCATTCAATCTTCAATAGGAATCAGCTGATAATATAAATTAAAATTTTAGAAATAAATAAGGTTATAACGTCTGTATGCTAACTTAAGTTTTACGATTATTGAAAAGCTAAAACAAGGTGTTAGATTTTGTATATACAACAGGCGCATTTATCATAGCAATTATTCTACAGAAGTAGAATGATAAAGCGTTAAATGTTTATAAATTTACGAAAATTGTTTAGGATATATCTGAAAAACAGTCAGTCGAATCTGGTGTTCTTCTTAAACACCGGAAATTATGGATTTTTTGTAATTCGGAGATTTATAGCAAGTGGATTAGAAATATCCTTGAAAATCAAAACTTGAATATGTGTTTATATTTATTTGAAGAATAGTCATTGTTGATTATGAATAATTCCATACATTGTTTTTAGAATTTCTAAATAAATCTTAATCTTATTCACAGGTTAAATGTTATTCACTAGAAGGTTACTCAGCATTTATACTACAGTATTTTGGGAATTTATGACGTCGAAATATGTTGTAATACGGGCTATTTAGCATCTTCATTAATAATGGATCAGTGTGTTACTTCACAATGATTTTACAGATGGATATTCCCAAGTTTATGTTAAAATAAAGTTGACGTTTATTTTAGTAAACATGTATGTCAGAGATTTTGTGATGGGCCGCATGTTGTGATCTGCGTCGTACGCATATGCTATAGAGAGCTTGTAATAACATGTGTGAGTAGTACGAATACTGAAAATTCAGGTTTGTCCATAAACATAAAAAAAATTGATTTATAAAGTCTCCTATTCAATTATGGTGTAGTCATACAAGTCTATAAAGGCTGAGTAGTTTTCCAAAGGACTTCTCGAATAAATTATCTAGATTAAGGTTTTTGAAAATTATTTCAGTTAAAAACTTTATTATTATGCCATTTTTGATTTGAGAAACGGTATTATTAAATGAAACTTTCGAATTTACAAAACCCACATCCACCAAAATAATTTAGTTGGACAGTTACTTTATCTTCATGATTTGATTTTAATTTTTGGAAACTTTTAGTCTGTTCGTTAGAAGAAGAATAATAAATATTATAATCCATTCAAAAAGCAATAAAGAATGCAAGTCGCTACAGAACATCAATTTAATCTAAGGCAAGTTGTTTTGATAGCTAAAATAGATTATATACTGGAAAGTCTATAGCTAAACACTGGATCAGATTTCTTCATTCGAGTATGTTCAACTTTTGTTATTTAAACTATGCTTTCAAAAATAAATCAAATGCATAATAATTAATTTTTTATCTTGTGAAAACTCATTATCACTTAGTATGAATTATCACTGTTTGATTATGACATCAGTATTAGTATGAAAACAAGTTAATACGTTATAACAACTATTTTTGAAGTTGTAGAAATGAAAAATATTGTCACAGAAACAAAGGAAAACAATTGATAATGGTGTTAGTTAGTCTGTTTCATTGCATATTTCATTACCGGTTTCGAAGTTCACTTCAAACCAATATACTAAATCTACTTTCAAATGTAGCGACAGAAAACTAAAAAGCTATAAAAACAATCAAATCATCATAGAGAAAGCTAAGTGCTAAATAGCTTCATTCGAAGCTAAAGTGATATGAAGATATAAAAGATATATAGTGTGAAAAACAAAGTGGACGGTCTCTTCAGCTTCCTTTACGTGAACAACAATTAGTGGTCAAACCCCACAATTATGGACATACATTCGATTGGAACAATGTGGAAATACTGGATAGGGGAAGGACAAAGCACACGAGAGAATTTTTAGAAGCTCGGCACTCAGGTCGATCAGCAATCAACAAATATATCGATAATGACCCAATTTATCAACCAATCAGAAAAATCATAGGTGACATAGGATCAAGAAACAGATCAAAAGGGGGATACAATCAAAACAAATGTGCGAATAACGACAGGTTTAACACCAGCGGCAAAAAATCATGATCGAGGTTAGCAGAACAAGCTACAGGTCAAACGTGGAGAAATTCGCATGCTTCACTTCTGTCTGAAGTTTGTGCTGATGATGTTGTTCACAAGAACACTGAAAGCTCCACAACCAAAATATCCAGCTCAGAGAACCAAACACCACCACCACAATCATCCACCTGAGCTACAAATTTTCTCCACCATCTCAAATATATAAGTTATAGTCATACTAGAATAAGGTACCAGATGACCAATAGTATTGTTAACTGTTCCTTATCTTTAGCAAACTAAAATTTAAAAATATTTCATCTAGTTTATTTTGATTCTATATGGCAGATTACTATTTTTTCATGGTTTATCAAAAAAAGATCAAGTAAATGAAATAATTTAAAAACCTAATCAATTTGGATTACTACAATAGTCAAACGTTGGTTACTTTAATAGAAATAAAGTTCATGGATTTTTCTATTTCATTTCCAAGAGCTGATGCTAAATAATTCATTACTAATCACATAATATCAAAATGATCATTATGTAATCTTTGATTATTGCATCATAAGGTAAGCTACTGATTCTATAACTTTTCAGTTTATATAAAAGTCCATTTGATACATGTACTATAGAAACTACATTTCTGTTTTTCAACTTCTTTTTTATTGTTCAGACATTATATACATGCTTATTATTATTATTATTATTATTATTATTATTATTATTATTATCACAAAGTGAAGTCACGCATAATACATAAATTACAATGAATTTTATTTAGGTAATCGACAATAGTGTAGGATTAACAGTTAAAACGTCATTGAAGCCAAAATGAACAGCAATAAAATGAGTTGAAATTTTTTGGTTAATTTGAATCGAAACGGAGATAGTCGATAATTTTATGCTTTCAAAAGTAAATAGATTCTAGTTTTGATGCAGTTTTTCAAAAGAAAAAGTGAACTCATACATACGAAAACTTTAAAATCCGATTGTTATAGCACTGTTATATAGTTAAAGGATAAATGGTTTTATTAGTAATCTTGAATTATTTATTATTCAAGGTATTTGTCCTACTATGGATATACTTTAGATGGCCAATATTTTAGAAGATAATTTGCCATGGTAAACATTATACATAAATGACTTCTTAAAAACTGAAACCATTACAGTGACCAACCGGTTGCATTTACGTCTTAATTATGAAGAAATAATCAGTAAGTTTCAAAAACAGGGAATAGCAGTTACATAAATTATTCCAGCTATATAATAGGAGGGAGACAGGCAATAGAGTAAATCGATGACAACTCCACAAGCAAATTTCCTCCGGTAAGTCTTTGGAAAATAAAGTACAAGTTCACCATTACTTTATAAAACATATCACAAACTCAGAATGCAGTAAATTAATATCCTAATGGATTCGTTTTTATCAAGCACGATCAACCCTTGAAGAAAACGCATAATAATTATTCTCTGTAAATCTGTTTACTATAGTAACCTCTACTATTGATTGCAGAACGCTAAATATGTAATATTGATTATTTTAAATGCTAATTAGAAAATATTTATTTCATATGATTCATTTATATTGATTGGTCTCAGACAAGATAAACGAAGTATAAGAGAGAAACATTAGTTGCGTCACTTCATTGTGCGAAATGCTATTATATAGGTAGCATAATGTGTCATATGCTTTCGTGTTTGTGAAGCTCAGTATATATAGAATTGTATCATTCTACTTGCATACTTTGAAACGAGCGATCGCCAGATTCGAGAAAGAATACAAATCATGTAGCCAAATTTAACACGGAAGGTAGAAAAATGAATATAACCTTCGATGAGGTGACTAGTGGCAAACACGTACAATAAACACATCACAAGCACACGTACAAATCTAAATAGATCTTTGGTGTTACCAAAAATGAATCCATTGATCTCCAACTATTAGACGGTCGAACTGATACACTTTTCTTTGATTTTGTTCGCTAAAATTAAGTCCATGTCATTTAGTTTTACCGCTGATTTTAAAATCAACGTTGACTGCTGCCTTGAATAATTATATCATCAGACTTAGATAAGATGATGATGAGTTCTCCTCAAAGTTTGAAACTGTTTGTCTTATCCGAATATAGATTCTACATTTGATTACATACAGGAACTCTCAAATTCTAGGTTTGTTCAATATCAGATTTAATCTGCTTACAGGAAAGATTTGTAATGAATTGTTAAATCAAACCAGATAACAGACACTGATTAACATTTTTCTTCTTAAATATCCTAGTAATATGGACATTTTTTAATCCCAGTACTAGTAATGATGCTTCATGAAATCACAGAACAATATTGGTCCCGGTCGTGAACTGGTTGTAAAACTGCCCATACATATGATAATGCTGAGTCACATTAATTAATGTAGACCCATAAAACCCTGTTATTATACTAAAAAATTATAAACTTTTCTATTTTAATAAAATGATATACATTGTAAATTGGGTAAATACATATTAGCTTCTACTCATTCTCACCTATAAGTCATAAATTTTATTTAACAAGGAAGTACAATCTACTTTCTTGAATATGACAAAACAATATTTTGTATCATTAAAAATGCTATACTTACCTTTAATCTTAGAGTAGCTTGATCTGAATTGTCGAAATAATCAACTTCTGTATCCATTGACTCACTGACTAGCCTTTGTTTGTTTCCATTATCGTCATAATCTTTACTGTTATCATTCGATCTAATAAGAAAAGAATTTTTTGTTTGTTTAGATCTGATATCAAAGCAACAAGGAAAGATTTGTCTGAATAATGATGATTTTTGGTTTCTATTATTCCCTTTAATTTTTCTATGGCTGTTATTTTTCGCTTTCGTTGTTTGATATATAGTTTGGTGAAAATCCTCATTGTTATTATTATTATCAGTATTGTCATCAATACAAACAGTACTGTTCGGTTGTTGTATTGGAAAAATGTCATTATTCAATGGATTGTGTATTTTTCTTGCACTCACTATTGTTTGATTGGATTTCTTCGATGATGCAGGTGAAGAGAGTGATTGAGATGAAAGAATTGATGATTGGTAAACAGATGCATGAATTGGATTTTCTGATTTTCCATACATAATTAAGAATATCAACAAATGTACTGGATTAATCTTGTGAAGCTCTCTTAGTTAATGTTAATGCTTTGAGACATCTTACTGAAAAGTTAGTAGTTTATTTAAAATTCACTGGTATTATAATATAATCCATCTAGTTTGTTTTCTAATGCTTCTGTCATTGCTACTATGAGTTTTATTTTAAAAGTGACATAAACTGACCAATTATAAATCCTTGTACATGTATTGTATGTGTAACTAGTAATTTTTTCAATGTTTTTATTTGTCAGAATTTACTAAATTAATAAATCGAATCATTGCTACACGTATCACATATCATACTTAAGAATGACTATTTATTTATATAATAGCTTTAAAAGGTTTGTATGTGTGTACCTATTGTCAGTTTGCTTCCATATATTGAGTGAGATCACTAAGCCGATCAATAATCAATCATTAATATATTTATGCACGTGAGTTATCATACAAACAGTTCTTCAAAATATTCTGACAGGCTATTGGATTCTCATGACTTATGATGAACTTAACATCCATTCCGTTGACTAAAAGTATGGTTTTTACTAGACAGTATTTTCCTATCCGGTTTAATACAGTGATTCCTGTAAGCAAATAATCCTTGGAAAGTACAACCTACTGTTCCTCTACTGGACCTTAAGGTTAGATTTAAAGAAAACTTATAAATAATGAACACATTTTATGTATATTTCATTTAATTTTATATCGAAATTGGAATTTAAAACTAATTAGATCATAAAAATATGTATAGAACAGTTAAAATAATCAGTTGTTAGTCAGTCAGGTGCTCGAAATTGATTAGTCTTTTGGTAAGAATGTTCTTCAAAACTGTGTACTAAAGTCAAAATATATGGATGGATTTATTGATCAGTCAGTTAAATAAACCAATGTTTTCTAAACACACACTGATACACAATCACGTACACATACTTTACATCCATGTGAATAGTGTCTTATTAGTTGAGAAGTATGCATTGTGAACACACAACTGTTATTGATCATATTTATTTCAATACCCATATCATTACTGAATATATTGAATATGAACCGGAACAAAATACACTCATATGCTATCAAGAACATTTTATTTTTATTATTGTCATGTCAAACATCATTCTTTTGATTCAGGCAGTTAACACTAGACAGCGGGAAACTTTCGTGCTAGTTAGCACGTATCAACTAGACTAGATAAAAGCGAGATTTATTACTAATAAGTGATCAATCGATTTAAATATTTCAAGTCTAAAATCCAGGTTGGCATGTTAGAGGAAATTTATTCTTGTACTGTTAATGATTGCTTAAAATACTATAACACTAACATTGAAGCGAGATTAATTTATGAGTAAATTGACTTCTCTCCGAACGATTATTAATGAGTTATCAACGGAAGATAACGCGCAACTTTGAAGATTAGTGTCTAAACAGTTTGACAACCTTTGGTCAAAATTCTTTTACTGGTAGCTGTCATATCATTTATGCTGGCCTGGTTTGAACACAAAGGAAATGCTGCTACTACATTTGTTGAGCCAACTATAATAATGCTTTTACTAACTTCGAATGCGATCGTCGGTGTATGGCAGGAAAGTAACATTGAAATAACCCTAGAAGCTTTGAAAGAGAATGAGTCAGATACTGTGAAGGTTATTCGTCAAGGTAAACATGGTGTGAAGAGTGTAAAGGTTCGTGAACTAGTGCCTGCGGAAATTACAGAAGTTGCTGTTAGAGATCGGATTTCAGCGGATATTAGTATCGTTAAAATTTTTTCTACAATACCTTTCATTAACCAGTTCATCATAACTGGTGAATCAATATCAGTTTCACAGCATAGGGATCCTGTATCCCAGGATCGAGCTGTAAATCAAGATAAAGAGAACACGCTAATATGGTGTATGACTGTGGCTTCAGATAAGTTTACTAAGGGGGTAGTGATGGAATCATGCATACGGAACAGTACCAAGCGCCTCTCGTATAGTGGATAGATGAGTATGGAACACAGTTATTAAAGATCATAACATTCATTAGTATCTCCTTATATAGCAGTATTGTCTGTTATTTTAGCGACCTAGTGCATGGTGGTCCATTGCAGTCGCAGTCTCTGTCACTGGAATTGCAGAAGGCCCACCAGCTGTTATCAGAACATGTGAAGCCTTACGGACCCGTAGAATTTCTGGCCGGAATATTATTGTGATAAGTTTCAAACTGGGAATCTAGCTATTGCTGACTTGAATCCTGAAAGAAGTATCAGTTTTTTTAAGATTGTAGATATGCTTTGCTAATGTGCGCCAAGTGGTGACAGATATACAATCAGGGTTTCATTCAGACTTCATCGAATCACCTTGCAATAAAACATAGTGGACCCGATATCCACTCATTTAGTTTAGTGGTTACAATGAACTTGTTCGATAGGATTTTTGCAACACTAAGGACTAGATGAAGATGATTAGAATAACTTGGTAATAATGTTTCAGACATTGTTTAACCAATGAATTAGACTAGAAAATTAAATTGAATATATATATATATATATATATATATATATATATATATACATATATGCTACAAACGCTTCTGCTATGGATAATGAGCTGAACTAGAGACCTTCTCAGATGTGCAAATTCATAAAGGCTTAGGTAGTTTATAACTTGCTGGAAATGCTAAAAAGTTTATTGAGGAATACAAGAAGGAATACAGATAAATGATCTATTTAGCATCATATGATGCAATTTCTTGTGATTCTCAATAAAAGAAAATCGTGTAATCTTTGATGATTCAAACAGTTCTGATCATATAACGATACCGTTTATTGGAAAAAATTTAGACAATATAAAATGTCATAAAGGTTCAAATAGTTGAAAGAGAAATAATAATAGCGTTTTTCTATATCAAATAACTTGATGAATAGCTAGTAACTCATTGGAAATAATCTTTGGTTAGGATTTAAAATGCCTGATCGGTTAATTTATTTTCATTATATTTGTTGCTATTTTCATCAAGAACCGACTGAATAGTGAACAATCTGGAAAAGTTTCAATATTAAAATCAAACTGCTTAGATCTCAAGTTTGGTTTACTTCACTAACATAACAAATATAGTATGCCTTGACATTTTATGCTTCAGATTAAGGAAATCAAAGTTATGTGTTAAAATTTTTTATCACTTTGAGTTAATCGATTCAATTAATAAATTACATACAGATAAAGAGAGTATTTTTAAACTTACTGAACTTTTCTTAGACATGATTCCTCATTCTGAGCAGTAATGGTTTCGTAAACCGATATTAGGTTAGCAGTATTTCTGGGATTTGGTTGATCTGTAAAGTGTACGATACGTTCTAATCAGTAAGGTGAAATCATTTTTTTGGAGAAACATGATGGTAATTTTGAGATTTGACAATAACCCTAATCAAATACAACCACTACCATTAGTAATTTTCGAATAAAGTTTATCGTTTTAAGAAATGCTTATACATGAACACCACGTATAACAATATAATTAAAAATAATATTGATTAACTGATTAAAAAATATGCTGCTGTTGGAGTTATGATGCATTCAGTATATCAAAATTACCATTATATATTTCCCTCCAGTTTGTAGAACCCTTCCAGCTATTTTAAATATCTGATCAGTTTCATTGCAATAAGACATATGGTAGTAAAGTAATCATTATAGATAGCAAAAAATGTATTAGTACTATTGAAATTAGGCTATAACTACGTTTAACTAATAAACATTTATTTCATCGATTGCATACAACAATTCCTTTTCGACCATGAATAAACATGCGAATATGATAGATTGAGAATCTGCGAAAACTATGCTGATTTCACAGATTACCTGTTGATACTAATTTGTTTCAATTTGTTTATTCTGTGTTTAGATGGCATTGATAGAATAATCCCAGTTAGTTAATTAAAAAGTATTTGATACAAAATAAATGGAACGTGGCGGCTAGCAGTGAAATCCAGGACTCATGTTTAGTCAAATTTGGGACATGTCAACTGGATTAACCTATATCATGGAATTGGTGCTTTTTTAAGTTAATTTTTAATGACAAAATTTTTCTATATGCCAACTTTGTTTTAAGGTCAGACTATATTTAGGATTTATCCGATTTGATATAATTTAGGATAATTTCAAAAATAACTAGTAAAATAAAGTGAATACCAGAAGAAGGTTACTATAATCACTGTTATAATATGGTCACATTAGTTCAGAAATGAAAATAATTTTTTTTGGTGGAGTTTTATTCTCTAACCTGAATGGTTTATAGTGGAGCTTTTATTGTTCTTCTGAACAACATTGTCAACATAAAATTCAGATGGGAATGAGGTACTCATACTTTTTCAACAGACAGATTTTCTTGTCGATCTTCATCTTAAGTGATCATTGTTGACCTTTGACTTGTCGTTGTATGTGTAGTTGTTTTGACTGTTTTGCCGATTGGACCTAATTCCCGATCTTTTATTTATCTATGAGCTTCGAATTAGTTGATAAGCTGGGTCTCTTTTTTGACGTGTTCTTTGATTGCTGATCTACCCGATCACCAAGCTACTAGACAGTCTGTTTTTTATTTTTATTCCGGCTACAGTCAAACTTACGTATTCTAAAATCTAAGTATTTGTATTTGATGACTAATGATTCACAGTGATGAGTGTATGCATTTATGAATATGTTTGACACGTATGTTCTTTCATTAAATTTAAAAATTATTATCATAAAATATTTAGTTCGAATTCTAATGTAGAAAGGTCATTTTAAGTCGCTTATGAGTAAACATGATGAGGTTACGTGTAAGTTAAAATTCTTATGGTATGGATCACCTGTGACAAAAAAACTAGTTACATTTTTTCCACCAAATATGAGATTTACAATTTCGCCAATGATCCATAGTTTCTTTATAGTACCAATCAGCATCAGGTTATTTATTATCTACGTAGATATTTGTCAAGCATTTTTAAGCGTAATAAGTAATTAACTTCTAATTCATACTGTTTAACAGTTTCAGTGTAAATTTCATGACTATTTACAGTTAATAATGATATTCTCTAGTTGGAATTAACCTATATACATGAATAAGAAACTATTAATGAATAATAGTTTTTAAATTGAGCATTAAAACAATGAAAATCTT